TTGGGACTCTGAGTCCATCTTGGGTGGGCTCTTGTGTGTTCTTTGAAGTCTTTTAAATATATCCCTACTTTATCCCTTTAACTCTGTCCAGCCTCTGTTCTAGGTGGCCTCTCCAGGCATCTCTTGGCTTCCACCACTCAGCTGATGGCTCCTAAGGGGAGCCCACTGCAAGGAACAGAACAGCACAGTCCTCAGCAGCCCAGAGAGAGACAGAGCTCAGGGCAAAGGCCACCAGCAGCACCGGAAAATCTGCTATCACCTCCAAAAAGAGCCAGAGGCAGCTGAGCTTTGGGACCTGGCAAGTCTGGAGTGCACGGTGGTGGGGCTGTGCTGGAAACCACAGAGGGGGAAAAAGCCACCACCAAACACACCCCAGGCTCTTCCCACTGCCAGATCCCACCAAGCCAGCGCTGCCAGGGGGGCAGGTCCCCATCCTGTGCTGTGCCCACTGCAGCTCTGCAGGGCGCCCTCTTGTCCCTTCTCCCGGCCCAGGGACTGTGACAAACAGGAGAAAAGTGACTCTGCACACAGCAGCTGGTGTGCCCTGGGGAACCCATCCAGTGCTCATCTCCCTGCTCCCACAGAGCAGATTCGGGGGGGGGAAATACCAGTGCACCCCAATACTGTGGGATGAGCCACAGTGAGATTTACCCCATGCTCCTCTTTGGGGATATCTCCACAGTATCCTCGCTCTGCCTAAATGTCAATATTTGAATTTGTGATTTCACAGCATTTTCACTATTTCTGTCTCTCATTTGCAGTGCCAAAACCAGCCTGACTAACGCAAACTCCTCCTTACTGGCTCCGTGCCTTTGCTGTGGAAATCCAAAACACACAAACACGCACACATCAGCCAAAAAGTGTGTGTACACAAGGAGCAAGGAGAAGCCAAATGGAAGTGAAATTAATCACAAAATCATAGAATATAATGAGTTGGAAGGAATCTACTTTGCAAGGATAATTTAGTCCATTTCCTGAATTTTTAGGGGGGCATCTCCGCCTGCCACTTCCAAGAACAACCTTTCAGCTCAGATTTATGATCTATTTTAGCAAAGGAAAAACAGTTTAGGGTGAACAACTAACATCTGTCAGAAATCAACAGATTCTTAGTGTGCTGATTGGGAAAGACTTTGATGTCTTTAGCTCTGATGTTTAAGGGAGACAAAGTTAATGCAGTTCAGAGACACTGGAGCAGGACTGCACAAACCTTTTTGGCAGAAGTCCTTGACTTTGACAAATAAATCTTGATTATAAAATGCTTTCTTTCTGGGGTGGGCAGAGACATTAAACAACAGTTTCTGAGGCACACAAAAATCTTGCCTTTGTAACACTTTGCTTTTCTCCCCCTCAAAGGCTCCCTTTGCTCTTCTCTACTGTTTCACTCTAAATCAAACCATGGCAGCACTTCTTCCTGAGGCAAGGGGAGCCTTGCTGGAAGACAGGCACCCACGCACAGGCACTGAGTGTAAATTGTAATTCTTGACTGCAGCAGTGAGAGCAGCAACACTGCTCTCCTGGTAATTAATTTCAGGTGCAGGCCAAACCCTGAAATTATAGATAAATGATAGATAAAAGCTACCAGCAAGAGCTGAGAGGCCAGATCTCACCTGTGAGCATGCTCCCCTTGCTGCTTGGCTGCCAGAGGATCCCCAAGGAAAAAAGGCACACTGCAGAAGGTGCATCCTTCCATTTTCGTTAAAACACAACCAAAAATCCTTCAGTCACCTCCCCACCTGCTGAGCAGCACTTCCACACAGACCAAGCTTCACAAGTAAAATGAAAAAGTGAAACAAGGCTGAAGATGCATGCCCACAGCTGCTCCTCTGCCCAGGAGTTTTCCTTGCCCCACACACAGCATCTGGTTTTTTTCTTGGAAGTCCACTCTGCTTGTTACTTGCTTCCTTTTTCCTTGGAACTGTTTGCAAACAGTTTAATTGGTTCTTCCACTGTTCTTCTGAGAAATTACATTCTCCTCTACAACTCCCCAGTTCCTCCTTTTTGAGGGGATGAGAGCACTTTCCCTGGGAAATGGGGGTTAAATGAAGGTTGGTGCCAGCAAGGGCTGCCTGGTCTCGGTTAAAGATTTCTGCTCTGTCACTGTCACACACAGAGTGTCCCCATGGGCCAGGGGCTCTGCTCTGTGCCCCATCCCAGTGATTTGGGCACTGCCAGCTGAGTCCTGGTACAACCGTGCAGGATTTAGCCTTGACTGTAACCAACACTCTTTAGCCAAAGTTTTAAATCACTCAGCTCCCCAGTCTGGGAAAGCCCAGACAGGACAGACTGATGTAGGAGATATTGGATTGTCATCAGAACCAAACAAACCAGCACACCTAATCCCCCCAAGTTGCTCTGGTTTCTTTCAGTCCTTGCTGGGACAAAGTTCCTGCATGTGTCAGCCAGAGGCGTTTCTTTGGAAAGGAAGCAGCGTGCCCAAAGCCACCCCAGCCTGCCTGCTCACTGGAATGAATTGGTGACTGCAAAGGGCTGGGGGAAAACCCCAAGAGACTCCAGCTCTAGGCCCCCTGTGCAAGGGGGACATAACTAATTCTGATAAACACAGCGGATTTTGGCAAATGCTGGGTGAGCGTGTCAGGATTCCAAAGGGAAGGTTCCAGGGGGAGAGCAGGACCTCTGAAAAACACCAAGTAGCACGAAATTCCACGTGCAGGGCAGGAGGAGAAGCTGGAAGCAATCAAAAATCGCAGAAGAATCTGTGCAAAGGTGTTTGTGATGCCCCTGGACGTGCTGTCCTCTCTCCTCTTTTGGATACAATGCCAGGGACATCACTGGAAATGCGGATTTTTTGTGCTACCAGTGCTGCTGAGAGACACTTGCTCGGGGGGACTACAGAAATGACAAGACAATTCCAGAAATGCATAAGCACAACCTTCAGCCACAGGTTGGTTTTTTTTTTAGAGGTTTAGAAAGAAAACCAGAACAAAATCCAGAGTCAGGGAGAGAGGAGACAGAGACGGGACAGAGCTCGTGTCTGGTTCCAAGGCATGTGTGTAAAATGTGAGAATTACAGGCTGCCAAGGGTTTGGGATGTCTTAGCTCAGCATCTTTTTGCACTTCTGCAGAAACGAAGCAGTTTTGCAGAAACTAAGTTTCTTTTCCTGGAGGGAGCAGGTTGGGCCCACTCAGAGCAGCTTTCCTGGTGTCCCCATAATCCCCAGACACGACATTGCAGATCCACAGAAGCCAACAATCCTCTCCACATCCCTCCAGCCCCAGCAGCCTCTGCAGCACCTCAAGGCATCTCTAATTCCTCTGCAGGGCTTGGCCAAGCCTGGGTCCCATGCCAGCCAGCGTTCTGTGGCTGCTAAATGTCACAAAGCACCAAAGTCACACTCTGCATCCGAGGGAGCTGCTCTGGGGCAGCACCAGCCCTCCTTGCTGTGGCTGCAGTCGTGTTTCTGGTGAGGAACGAGGGTGAGGGCCCTTCCTAGGGCCTCTCCTCGGGCTGGGCTCAGCCAGGAGCTCCAGCACAGCCAGGGGAGTGACCAGAGGTGGGAAGGGAACAGGAATTTCTGCACGCTCAAAAGTGGACGATGTGGAAGCTGAATTTTCTTCACTAAGCTTCCATGACCTGTGGTGTGCTCTCCAGCACACACCAGAGCGTATTCCTGACCCAATCCACCCTCAACTCAGAGTGGGGTGTCCTCACAGCAGATCCTACACTCCCCTCTTCGTTTGGTTTTGGTTCACAGAAAATATCCTTGCCTAGATGGGAGAACACAGGAAAGAACATTGCTCCTGCTTCCTCTGCATGCAGGTTACATGTCAGGACATGTGTCTCATGACAGGTTAAGAGGGCACATTTTGGGGAAGGGAAACTCTCTGACAGCTCATCCCTAGAAGGCAGGCAGGTAATTATACTCCCAGTGGGCTCCATCCCCACCAGGAGAAGGCAGCGCCTGACTTCGGTCACAGTTTGGTGATTTACAGCAGAAAAAAAAAAAAAAAAAGAGCAGTGGAAAGAGCAGTGCTGGACTGCCCCCAAAGAGTGATGCAAAGTCTCTCATCCAAAATCAGCACGGGAGATGCTTCAGGCACCTGATATTTGGCAGCTCTGGGTGTCACAGGCAGAAGTCCCAAAGGCATCCCAAGGGACAGGGAAGGGAAGCCTGCACGGCCAGGAAACGCCCCTCTGGAGGCATTTTCTGGACTCCAGGTTTCCAAGTGTGCAAAAGGGGAAGTTGTTCTCAAACAGTTCTCAGTTTTCTCCCTCCTATGCTTTGCACAACATCCCATGGCTTTAAAAAGTGAGGAAAAAAAGTGAAAAGGGAAGCACACGTCTTCTCTCCAATCCCTTATCCTATCCACCTGTCCCACATTCTTTTCTATTCGTTGCTTCTTTACAGAAAAGGGATTCCAGGAGCATTGCAAGATGCTAGAAAGGGAGAGCCAGCCCTGTAAACTCCCCATCTGAGGCTGAACAGGGAGGTGAGAGCTTTTACTGATAAAAGACTGGGTGAAGACAAGCACTGTCCACCCAGCTCTTCGCTATTGCTGGAAAGAACATGATATTGAAGCTATGAAAGACATAAACACCTCTCCTTTCAAAGGCCCTTACTCAAAACTGAACTGGGATGCAATAAATCAGCCCCCACATTCGCACAGAAAACCAAAAAAAAAAAAAAAAAAAAAAAAAAAAAAAAAAAAAAAAAAAAAAAAAAAAAAAAAAAAAAAAAAAAAAAAAAAGAAAGAAAAGAAAGAAAGAAAGGAAGGAAGGAAGGGGAAATTTAGATTAGTCACAAAGAAGTTCCCCCGCCTGCTTCTGTGTGCATAAAGCAATCTCCTGAAGGCACTGTGTTCACTTCATCTCTGCTCCTGGGACAGGAGCTTCCCTTTTCACTTTTTTTCTTCACCAGCCCCTGCTCCTTTGGGCTCCTGCTGTGCTCCTGCCCCTTTCCCAGCAGGAGCAGCTGGGATGGAAGGAGAGCCAGAGGCAGAGGCAGGAGCTGCAGCAGAGCAGATGCACAGCCAGAGGGAAGCTGTGCAGGAGGGATGGATGCTCTGGCAGGGAGGACAGGTTAGGAACACGCTGCACATCGTGTCTGCCGTGGCTCAGTGGATTTTACTGCTTGCCTGCCTCATTTACCTGGGAATGGATTTCCTGCGGCCCTCAACGGTAAGAGCTCATGTTCAACCCTCTGTCTTCTGGCCTCTCAAGCTTTGTGTGGGCTTCCTTTTCTTTGTTTTTTTTTTTTTTAAGAAAAGAAAAAAGCTTTGAAGTTTATCCCTATCCCTATTCAAGTTTTTAATTAATCCCTTCTGTATGATAGTATTTTTACATTTTTTAAATTTTGAATTTCCTGTCCTCAAAATAATATTTAGTGTTGCCCAGTGGAGGGTTTTGGCCCAAGTTTCCTGCAGAGTGACTCTTCCAAGAATGTTCTTTTCACTGACTCTTGGGGAAGGGAAGTCTGACTGCCTCCCGCTCTTCCCCCTCCCTGCAGTGGCTTGTGTGTATTCCCATTTAATTGAATAAGATCCTGTGTGTGAATGACAACCTGACTCGCTCATCAACACCTCCTGAACTTTTGAACTGGGCAAGCAGATGTGTGGGGAAGCAAGTTACCCTCGTGACAGCTCTAGCAAGACCCCTGACACTTTTGGGTGCTCTCAGCCTGCCCATAAGGCAGGGTCAGGAGCAGCCATCTCCTCCTGCCTGTGTCCAGGCAGAGTTTTGAGTGCCCATAACACCAGAGCAAGCAGGGTAAAAACCAGAGATGCTCAGGGCTCGCAATTTTCCAGCACAAGCCGCAGCAAACCCAAGTCTGACTCTCTCAGGGCTTGCAGGCTGCTGGATTGTCAACAACCTTTCACTGCCACTTCAGTGCTGCTGGTGCAGCAGCAATTTCTCCTCCCACTCCTTCTCCAGGAGCTTTGCACCACTTTAAAGCTTGTTGTGCTTCGTTTTAGCCGAGTTCATTCTTTCCTCCCACCAAGGCTGGGCACAGAGGCAAGCCAGGTGTGTAACCATGGCCTTGTGCTCCAGGTTCTCTGCTGTTTAATGGGAACTGCTCTGCACAGCTTTCACTGGCCTGAGGCTCCCAGTGGCTGATAAACGGCAGAGCAATGATGCTGATAACACTGAGAGATAACACTTGTCATTCCGTGTTCTTCTCCTTCCTCTGCTTTGGGAGGCAGAAGTTGCACTGAAAAGCAATCACGGTGCTCAAGGTGCAGAAACCTCTCCCAGGTCACACTCTACCCAGGAAACCTCATCTCTCAGCACCTGGATCTTCTGTAAAAAACATTCTTCTTCCAGACAAATATATCAGGGGCTGGCACTGCTGCCTGTGAGCCTTACAAACCCAAGAGGGGACTCAGTAAAAGTCTGGAGTTTCCCTTCCTCAACAGAAACAGGGTGCTCAAGGAGCAGCAATGGCAACAGATGAGAAGTCCAGGTCCTGGAAGTCACCAAAGGACCTTCTCAGTCTAAAACACTTGCTAACTGCAGGGTTAGCACTATTATTTCTATCCTTTTAACAGGTAACCCTGGTGTCCTGTTTGGAGTGCACTGCTCTGTGCAGGAGTGGGACACGGGGAGATTTCATTGCAGTGCAGTGACAGGGCTCAGTGGATAATCATGAGCTGACCACATAAATGTCTCCTGAAGGGACAGCAGCACAAATCTGACTTGACTTTTGGGGCAGTTCAGGGATACTTTATGGAAGTGGATGAGTGGCTCTCCCCATCCTTGGGAAGGGTCTCCTGTTCTCCGAGGTGTAGGGTGCCATGCTGGCTTTATTTGCAAGGGAATAACTGTGTTTTTTCACAGAGAGACCATATTTGACTCCTTTTCATTGTCCTCATGGAAACACGGCTCTTAAAAAAACACCCTCCTGGACTGCTCTGTGCAAACAGAGCATAAATAATGTCATAGCACATACTCAGCAAAGTCAGCATCTGCAGCCCAGATTGTGCTGAACACAAACGGACAGTGATCTCATCTCTGTCATGATACCACTTGGAGAACAAACCTCAGATTCCCAAATGAGGAAGTTAAAAAAGAGGTCAGTGATAGTCTGCTTTTGCATCTGCAATTCCCAGGTCTTCTGGAATGCCCTTCTCTTGCCACACCTTTCCTCTTGCCACACCTTTCCTCTTACCTGGGAGGTAAAGCCCATGATCCTGGTGAGGAGAAGGTACAGCCCACTTTCAGAGAATGGTCACCTGCCACCTGTGGGGCACCTCCACGTGTGAGGTTTGCACTTTGTGCAGTCTCCGAATTTATTCCTGAAACTTGTGCCACGTGGCACTACCCTGGACACAGTGGGAGGGAGTCTCCTGTTTGGGAATCCAGAACAGGCAGAAAGGAAGCTTTTGTGTGTGAATGGCACAGGGAAATCTGATGCTGTTGGTCAGAAGCACCTCTGTGTCCTCAGCCCTGCTGGCACACTTTCCCACATGCCTCCTATCCAAAGGAAGAGCAGAGAAAGGGAGGTCACTGACTTTGCTCTGGGCTCCCAGAGTCCTTCCAGTGCCACCAAAAATTTTTGTCCACCAACCAATTGTCTCCTCAGCAGGATTCCCCAGTAGGTACCTGCAAAGTGCTTTGAGATCACACAATGACTGCAAGAGATTTGTAAATTTGCATTAGTGACAAGGGAGTTGATATTCTTACAAGTGCAACAAGCTTGTCACCCAGGCTGTGTTGAGCACACCCTGCCCATCAGTGACCAGATTGTCGTAGATGCTGTTTGACCTCCTGTCCTGTTGAGAAATGCCTGGCTGTGCGAGCCAGGAGAGAAACTTGTGCTCTCCAAAATCAGATCCAGCATGAGATTCAAGCTGAGGCAATGGGCAGGATGGGTGATGCCAAGGGAGACAGCTCCACCAGACTCGGTGGCTTTAAAGCTTGTGCTTGCTGGCCATCTCCAGCCCTGCAGGAGTCGTGGCAGCACTAGAGGGTGCCAGAGCAGATCTTTTCCAGCAGCAGCACCCACCTCAGCTCCGGCTCAGAGCACCCCCAGCTCCTGCAGACAGGCTGTGCTCACACCACGCACGTCCCCTGTGTGCTCCTGGGACACCCGAATCCACGGAATCAGCCCAATCCACACCTCCCCCTCAGGCACGTCTCTGCCTTAGGAATCCTTTGGCACAGGTAAAGAGAGGAGCGCTGGGCACTGAGCCCGAGCTTTCACTCTTTAATCAGAACTTGTGGTTGTGCAGAGACTGCAGATTTGGGTCTCCTGTGGTTATGACGAGACTAAAGCTTGAGATGCCGAGTTCAGATTTAAAAATCCAGTGCAGAAGAGTGGTGCTTTGCATATCCGACCACTAGGATACACACTTCTGTATTTCCATTCACTTTCTCTGTTACATTCACAAAACACACAGCACAGGATCACAGGATCACAGGATCGCCGGATCACAGGATCACAGACTCACAATGTCACAGACTCACAGGATCACAGACTCACAGGATCACAGAATTACAGGATCACAGGGTCACAGACTCACAGAATCATAGGATCACAGAATTACAGAATCACAGAATTACAGAATCACAGAATGATTGAGGCTGGAAGGGACCTTGAAGAAAATCTCTTTCCAACCCCTCTGCCATAAGCAGAGAGGGACACCTTCCACTATCCCAGGTTGCCCCAAGCCCCCTCCAACCTGGCCTTGAACACTTTCAGGGATGTGGAAGCTTCCACAGCTTCTCTGGGCAGCCTGTGCCAGCGCCTCACCACCAAAATTAGGAAGAATTTCTTCCTAATACCTAATCTAAACCTCCCTTATCACTCTTGTCAAAAGTCTCTCTCCAGCTCTTGTTGGAGGTACTCCAAAGTGCTTTAAGTGCTCCCTAAAGCTTTCTCTTCTCCAGACTAAATAATCCCAACTCTCTCAGCCTGCCTCCACAGAAAAGCTGCTCTGGGAGGGTTTTAAACCGTTTAAACCATCTCCGTGCACTTGGGAGCCTCTGAGAGACACACACATCCTGCAGTAAAAACCTGACCCAGAGTGCAGGGAGCCATAAAGCCAGACCCAGCTCTTGGTGCCCTGCAGGAGGGGGGGACAGCACACCTGGATCCCTGCTCTATTTGCCAGGTGCTCTAAGCCAGGCTCGTAGAGAAAAGCCTCTGCACCCCAAAATCCTTCCTTGCTGTTTGCTCTGACTCCACTGCACACACCAGTGTGATTTTCTAAACAGAACCAACACTGCCCTGGGTGCTCTGGAGCGCCCAGCACTGGGAGCCACTCTGAAATGGTATCCTCTAATAATGATTAAAAATCCAACCCAGGTCAGAGCTGGCTGGGAACCATGCTGAAATGGTATCCTCTAATAATGATAAAATATCCAGTCCAGGTCAGAGCTGGCTGGCAGCAGCTGTGACCCCGAGGCTTCCTGAGCTGTTTTTGGAGATGCATGTGCTCTGCTCCTGCAGGGAATGAAGGATCCTGGCTGGGAAATGAAAGGGGCAACACCAGCAAGATGTCAGCCTTAACAAGGATTTATTTATCCATTTATTTATTTATCCATTTATTTATTTATTCATAATTTTATTTATTTCGTTATTTATTTAGTTTTAATTTTTTAAAAAAAATTATTATTATTTTTAAAATTATTTTTGCTTTCTTTTCCAGATCCAGAGTGACAAAGTGCAGTGGACCCATATCCGGTACACAGGTGGGTGTTGGGGTGGGGGGACCTTGACCCCTTGGTGATCCCCCACCCCTGTGCCACATCCCCCTGGCACACTGGGAGGGCTCCACCACAGTCCCCAGGGACCTCTGTGGCATCCTGTGGCCCCCAAAATACCTCACTGGCTGCTATGTGCTTGGTGCCACAGTGGTGGCTATTTCTTCTGATGGAGGACAGGTGCCAGGAGAGGGAGAGGAGCCAAGCCTGCCCCAGCGCTGCAAGGGGCCCAAACGAAACAATTGTGTTTTCCCAGAGCAGAATAAAAAACCTGAAAACCTGGGTGGACTTCTGCAGCCCTCATCTCTCTCCTCAAACCATCTTTCACTCTGTGAGCGAACAAGAAAGACATTTTGGGGAATTTACTAAATGAGTTTTCCTGAAACATGTCAATGGTCTCCTGATTTATGGCAAATGTTAATTATTTCCTTGGGAGGAGTGGGTGAGACCACACACCATACCAGATGTGCTGCTCTGCGTGTCAGCTACATTGGATGTTTGTGCTGCACCTCAAAGATAAAACTGATTATTGAAATTTTAAAAAAAATCATACTGAAAGTGCTATTGACAGTTTTGTTTTCAGTTAAAAGAGTGAGACTTTTCATTGAAAGCGTGAGGTTTGTTTCCAATTAAAAGCAGGGAGTCCAACCTGATAGGAACTCACATCCTTTAGGGGAAAAGCTTGAGGAATTTGGCCCCAGCCCAGAGGGGTTTGGTGCCTGCCTGGAGCCCCTCTGGGTGCCCTGGTGCCAGGGGTTCCAGCAGGGAAACATGACCAGCACAGCCCTGGGAGCTGTTATTCTTAATTCCACGGGAAAACCTTTCATGGCAAATTCCGGTTTAATTTCTCCTTATTCTGCTCTGTACTAATTAGTTCCTTCTGCTCTGTCTCTTTGCTGATATCTCATCTTTTCTTCTGGAAAAAACACCCCCACAACCAAACTCCAAGGCAAGGCTTATGTTACCAGCACCTCCACAGAAAGCACTTTTTGTCTTCCAGCTTTTTCTCATCTTATTTATCATCTTTATTTTCCTGTCCTTTTTATGGATCTGCACTTTCTAAACTCACAGTGATGCTTTACTTACTGCATTTTTCTGTAATAATACTTACTGTATTATTCTGAGACACAGAGTAAGTAAACAGTGCATAAATAAAAATTTGGAGGAGCAATCCACATAAACCATGTGCCAAAAGGCCCGGCTTGGTCGAGAGTGGGAATCTCAATTTTCATGGTAGATGATGCCTGGCTCTGCTCTGCCCTGTTCTCTAGTTTACCGTACAGCTTCTCCCTATTTTATGTTTTTCAATCTTCCCTGCATCAGGTGGTGCAAAGCAAGCCATTTCCTAGAGGAAAATGATCGCCTTTGATTTGCTCATCTTAGTTTCCTTCCGTTCCAGGCAGGAGCACCAGAGGAGTAGCCATGAATCTCACTGCTGAGGGGGGCCCCATGCAGATCAGGAATGGCTCCATCATGATCCCCTGCGATGGCCTCTACCTCGTGTCCCTGAAAAGCTTAATCTACCTGGAAGAGGAGGACTGGCTGAAGCTGACCCTGCAGGGGACACAGAAGACAAACAGCAACGCCCTGTGGGAGCAGATTGTGCAGGTCAACGACAGCACAGTGAACCTCACCACGGTGCTCTACCTGTTCAGGGAGGACAGCATCACTCTGTGGACCGACTCCAACGCCAGCATCTGGGACATGTCCTTCAGCGTGGTGTTGATCACTGACAGCCTGAGTGCTAGCTGCAGGAGCTGGCCCTGAAAAGCAGCAGGGAAAGCACAGCCTTGCCCAGCCACCTGTAGGTCTTGTCCTTGTGCAGGCAGAGCCCCTCCCTGGGGCTGTGGAGTGCAGATAAACCACAGTGCAGACACATAGTGCATGCCTCTTTGGAGCTCTGTGCAGCTGATTTGCTACCCAGGATGGATCTTTCCAGCACTGGGGATAGGGATGCCTGGAGCTCTTGGGAAGAACAGAAACGAAAGCCAAAGAAAGTCACCCAAGGTTTCTCAATTTACTTTACAGTGTCTGTACATAGTAGAAATGTGTTGTGTTTTTTCTCAAATAAAAGTCTGGTGAGCCAGGAAGATACCTCAAGTGTCCTGAAGCCACTTGGAGCAGGAGGAGCACGAATCTGCCTGGAAATCAGGGAAGAGGCAGCAGGGGAATGCCTTTGGAGTGAGCCAGATAAAGGCTGTAAGAAAAGGTGGTATTTGAGCTGGCAGGACTGCACTGGGCAGCAGGAGCACTGGCTGTGGAGTTTTGGGGTGCAGCCTTTGAGAGCAGAGCCCCACTGGCTGCTCCAGCTGCCTGCAGACTACTGAAGCCTGGCCCCGAGGAATATCTGGTGGGATATTTACACCTTGAGATGTGAGGTGTCAGAGGAAAATCCCCTTCAAGCACACACACACACACACACACACACACACAGAGACAGGATTGACCCAAAAGTGATCCAGGCACATAAAAAGTAGGGCAAAGAAGACTCCTAGATTTGGTGAGTTCTCTCTAACAGACCAAGCAGAAGCTGCAGGTCTGAGCATCCTTTCCCCAGGGAAGATTCAGGTTCTCAGGACTGCCCTTGGCTTGGTCCTACAACCCCGAGCTGCAGAGGCACCTGAGCACTCCTGCCTGCCTCCTGCTGCACTCACACTGCTCTCAGGGCTGCCCATCCCTGCTCTCCTTGCTGGACACAAGTCCTGCCCTGCCCTCAGCACAGCCAGCAGCTGGGCGATTTTGGGTTGAAGTGAGGCAGGTTTTAAGGGCAAATTGACTTAACTACGTGTCCCCTCAGTGAACTCCATCCACATTTCAGCTTGTACACTCCAAAAATCTTTTGTTCAAAGTATTTATGTATTTAAATGACAGGCACAGGAACATCAGGTTTCTCAGAAGCACTGGGAAGGGTTCAGACCAGGTTGTCAGCACTGAACTCCTCTTTGAAAATGCTCCCAAAGCTCCCTGCTTTGCAGGCACCCACACCTGGACTGACTCACTCAGGTGCTACAGGAAATAAGAACATGCTCCAGGCTTTGGAGAGCTTTCCTGGGCTTTAGGCTAATGAACTTCCCTACCTGGGCCAGGCCAGAGCCCCAGAGGACACTGGCTGAAGCAGTTCACTCATGATGTGCCAAGAAGCAGCTTTTCTCCTCTCGACTGAGAAGCTGTGGCTGACTTGCACCCACAGGATAATCATCATTAAGGGATATTTTGGGCTTTAAACTCCGGCCACGCTCACCACCACGGGAACTGAAGGCAGCTGCACCCTGCCCCGAGGCTGGGGATTGTCACACTCCCCAGCAGAAGTGAGAATGTGTTTCTCTTCCTAAAAAAACCAATAAATTTTCCCTTTGCAACGTTTGGGCTTGTGGTGTCCCTTGGAGGCAGGGGTGGGGGAGGAGAAGGAAGTTGGAAGTGACAGGTGAATTATAGAATTATACATTCAGTGTTTGAACAGGCATTTCCAGTGCTATGAAAACTATGCCAAATTTTCACATACCTTTTTTTTTTTAAAAAAAAAACCAGTTCAGCTTTTGTTTCAGCTCTCCACGAGGGTATGCAGGGCTGGTGCTTCCCAACATGTGCTAACACACGTCAGTGGTGTGTGCAGGGGTGCACAGGACAGCGAGGAAGGTGAAGCCTAAAGAACACAAATTGCTCTTTGGAAAGCTGCACCCTTTCTTCTTGTTTGGAGCAGGAGAGGGCATTCCACACACTGATCCCACTGCACTTCCAGGCTGAGCTGTGGCTGGACATCTGTCCTGGTTTGGGGTAAATTTAGTGAGAAAAATTTTTAATGGGGTTTCTTTAGTAGGGTTTAGATCTCTCAGGGGGGAGGCCTTCATGTGTCTCTGGTCCCTAGGCTTTTTTGAGGTTTTAGTACCTTCCTGGCTCCTAGGCTTATTTTCTTATCTGCAAATAGTTCCAGTAGTGTCCCTAACATGTAGTTTCTACAGTAGAGAGTATTAGAATAGCTATTGTGCTGGTCTCAGTAGTAATTATTTATAGAAAGTTTATTAAGGTACTGAAGTTTATTCCAGATATATACTGTTTATGGTTTCTTCATCCTACCCTGCATCCCAGTTCCAAAAACATGTTTTGGGGGTTTATTACACCCAATTCGTTAAAAGAAAATATCTATACATATACATGCCCTTGTCTTGAAATAAAGGTAGAAACCATTCACTTCCTGACACTGATTCCTTGATGGACTCACTGTCCTCATCAGTAAGTTTCTGTACCATCAGCTTTTGTTTGTACCCAGAGACACCTTTCCTCCACAAGGTTAAAAGTCTCTGTGGTATGAGATCTTTGTTGCTGGGCTTGTTGAGGCCCTGCAGGAGCTCACAGCTGGTGCTGGAGCCCCATCTCACAGCTCTGTTCAGCCAGCTCAGTGCACCCAGCGTTCAGGTGCAGGGGTGTGGAAGTGCAAGGCTGCACCAGGCACATTCTGGAGACAATCCCTGACTACAGAGGGGCAGCACATTTGTTTTTCCTGTGCTTACTGTCACTGCAAGGGGACCCTTTGCTCTGTCCTCCCTTTCCATGAGGCCATCCCACAGCACACAGCCATCAGCTGGGTCATTATAAACCCTTGGTGTCCCTGCTGACCCTTGGTGTCACTGCTGACCCTCGGGGTCAAGGCAGCCTCTCCCACTGCTGTGGTTTTTGTCCAACAAGCCACAGAGGAGGCCACTGTGCACTCCCTGCCTCCTCTCTCTGCTTTCCCATCTGTCCTGGCTGCCATTGAGGGTGGCAGAGCTGGTGGCCACCCCTGGGGAAGGAGCTGGCCTCAGCTGGGCAGGAGTACCAAATGTGACGCAGAGCAGAGTGGGAAATGCGATGGAGGCCTCTTCTCCTTACACAACAAATGATGGGAAGCACTTGAAGTCCATTCACACCCGAAAATCATTTCATTTCCTACCACATATAGTTATCAGTAATAATGGATAACGAGCCTGTGGTTTTTCAGACACCACTTATTTCATCAGCCAGTGTGAGTCACAGCCATTGCCTGTCAGCTTCACCAGGGAGAGAGACCAAGAGAGCTGGAGGTTGCTTGGCAAAGTGCAGCTGGCTGCTGCTGCTGCTGCAGAGCCAGCACTGTCCATATCAGGCAGCAGAAAGTACAGGAATTTAGTTTCCTTGTTCAACAATCAAAATGGGGAAGTATGATTTGGAATCAAGGAGCTTCCTGCAGTAATTAGTTGGGAAGGTTTAACTGTAAATTAGACTTTTCTCAGCAGCATCTCTAACTTCAGAGCTGTTCTCTGAGCTGGAAGTCGGTTGGTTCCTGTATTCCAAGGGATCCAGACCAGCCCCAGAGATGCTTGCTTCCAGCTATGGGGTAATCCACCAAAACAAGCAAATTGAGCAACACACTCGCTGAGGGCTGGGAGGAGATGGTGCCAGGCCAGAAAAGGACAGTGGAGAGAGAGCAGCAGGAGGATTTATCATCTTCTGCAGCCTTATATGCCCTAAGGCCAGGGAGATCAGGAGGTTATTGCTCATTTTCCAAGTGGATGGGGAAGGCAGTTAAGGGCTCCATTCTCCAAGTGGATGAGGAAAGCTGTTTAGGGCTAGCAAGCAGAGTGGAGACTGAGGTCACATCTCCCCATGGGGATGTCGAGCAGTGAGGCAACTTTCTGGCAGCTGTTCAGCATCCCAGAGCAGAACACACATCCCACAACGTGCTGGGAGAGGCTCTCTGTGCCCTCTGCACCAGGAAAGAGGAGCCTGGAGAGTAGAAAACCCCCAGGCCAGGGCAGGAGAGGACAGTGGGGCTGGCTTAGCTGTCCCACAGGGGCAAGGACACTGGGCACAGAGCCAGGAAAACACGGGGGAGGAGAGCTCAGGAGAGATGGGGAGCTGGTAGGGGTCTGTGGGCTGCCTGTCCTTAGGACTTCAGGAATGTAGGACAGGCAGAAGGCAGGACTAAAGCAGGGTTTCACCTGTCAGCTCACTCCCAGTGAACCAAACCTCTGCAAACACCTAAACACAGCCACTGTCCCCTCAAACACCCCCTGCCTCCTCGTGCACAATTCCATTTTCAGTGTCACAGCTCTGAACTCTTGCTCACCTTTTGCCCAAGGGGATTACGAGTCCCTGTGCTGCTCACAAGCACAAGAGTGATGCTTGAGAGGCTCCCTGGAACAGAGGCTGGGCAGAGTTAAAGGAATAAAGTAGGGGTTTGTTAAAAACCCTTCAAAGGATTCACCTTGGGCACTGCAAGATCCTGGCCATGGCTACACCCAAGATGGACTCTGAGTCACAAATTTTCACACTTTTATAAGTTTTGTTGCATTTCCATCTTGGGGTTCATTGTCCAATCCCAGCTCCAGGTTCTGCAGTCCCATCCTCCCAGATTCTCTCCTCAATTCGCTGTTGTTTGCACTTTTTGGGGCTGAAGCTGCAGCGGTGTCCTTGGTTGTGGGGCTGGCAAAGGATTGTTTTGTGTGCCTGAGCTGTGAGGAGAACTTGTAACACTTTGTATGAAGTGCAGAGTTATACACTGATGCAGTGCAGAATCTGGAAAATATGAAAGCTGAAATTTAAGGCATCAAGAGCACTCCCATTTCTGAGCCTGCACTTTCTCCTGCCTCTGCATTTTGCTGGGGCTGGTAGTCCATGCTGTTCTTTGGTGGCCAGCCAAGGCACAGGGCAAAGTTTGGGGCAAGACAAAACTTGATGTGATCACAGACTGGCTTTCCTATTAATTGCTTTCATTGTTTGCTTTAAAGCAAAATCCGCCTATTTACTGGCAA